TACCCCACCCCTCCAGATAACAATACTTTAAAAAAAAATAAGCAAAAGAAAACAGAGCCAGGTGGTGGTGGCACATGGCTTTTGTCTCAGAACTTAGGAGGCAGAGACAGATGGATCTCTGTGAGTCAGAAAAGATGAGAAGGAGGGGAGAGGAAGAGGAGAAGAAAATGAAGGAAGAGGAGGAAGAGGAGGAGAAGTAGTCTCACATAGCCCAAGCTGGCCTTGAACATCCAAAACTGACTTTCAACTTCTAATCCTTCCAACTCTTCCGAATGCTGGGAGTATAGGCATTTGCTACCACATTGGTTTTTATATTCGGCTAGAGGTGGAAACCAGAAGTTCATGCATTCTAGACAAGCAACAGTATAGTCCCTGATCCAGAGAAGCCCCTAGGATTTTTCCCACAGTTTTTAGCTTGGCTTTCCATGGTTTTTGGTGCAAGCCCACTGCCTTGCTCTTGACTTGATTTTCTCCTCTTGGAATGTCACTAAGACTCAAGTGGAGGTCTCAGGGGGAGGGGGACTCATGGTGGTGTTAAGTACAGTTATGCATACTGGCGTGTGTGTGTGTGTGTGTGTGTGTGTGTGTGTGTGTGTGTGTGTTTACTAGCCTGTGATGATTATAGTTGGGGTTAGATAAGCCATGTGTACACTTGCCCATGCCTCCGTAATGCTGAGAGTCCTGGCTTAGCTGGTACAGTGTAGCTCAGCAGGTGACAGCTGGGAAGGCTGGGTCAAGCAGGACAGGCCACAGCAGGTCTAGCATCCTGGCTGGGGAGACACATTAGCCCGGAATCCCAGTAGTCCGAGATCCGAGAGGCTGTATATCACAGAGGTTTAACCAACAGTGTGGCACATACTTGTCTGCTCTCTTGAGCCATGTCCCCGACCAGTCTGTCATAAATTGCACTGAGAGTTCAAAATATCCCTGTCCCCTTGAGCTCTTCCTGGACAGCTAAGAAAGTCTCATTCCTTTGAGGTCTCCACCTGGCCCCTGACACCTGGGCCACCTCCTCTAACTCTGGCATCTGTGACCTCCTTCCTGTCTCCTACCAGTGTGGAGGAAGAGTTGGAGGAGGCAGAAGAGCTATAGGGTCTGCCATCTAGAGGTGAGAGGGAACTAAATATTGATAGAGGAACTAGGACCCTCACAAAGTGATGGAAGTGACCTTCAGTGTCTTCTGTGGGGAGGGCAGTGGTCTGGGTCCCTGGCATATCTACCAGGGGGCAATTTAGATGCATCTTGCATTTGGAAGAGTAGTGTATCCCTGTTCAGAATAGCCATCTCTTAACTACCAGATAGATGCCCACCAGGCCACTTGGAATGGATGCTGGTGTTGCATCTCAGCAGCAGCACCCTGCATCCAGGATAGGAGCTTCAAATTCTCAGACACTCGTGGCTAACCCACAGTGTATTAGTTTAATAGGGTAGGGATAACAGAACAATAGACAACAGAAATGGATTGTCTCACAGATCTGGGTTCTCAAGGCTGGTTCTGTTAAGGCCTGCAAAAGGGAATCTGTCCCAAGTCTCTTCCCTAAATTGCAGTGGATATCTGGTAATCTTGAGGATCCCACAGCTTACAGGTGCATTGGCTGATCTGTGTATCCATCCTCTCATGAACCTGTGTGCACATCTGAGACATGGGCCCCTTCATATGCTGGACTCACCTGTTGTGTGACCATTCCTAGGGAGACATAAGCAAATGTCTCTTCACCTTAGGGCACAGATCAAAGACAGACCAAAGGCATTACTCCACCCAAATGTAGCTGAGTGAACCAGTGAGGTTATTGGAGTTACTTATAGATGTATGGGCAGCTGCATCGGTGAGAAGTCATTCCCAGCATGGACAGTGGCTTAGGAAAACAGCATCACTGGAGCTCCCTGTGATGATGGCAGATCCCCGGCTCATGGCAGAGCCTCCTCTCCCCAGAACTGTACTGCCAGTTTACAGCTTTGGGGGAAGCCTGGTGAGTCTTGGGAGTTTTAGAAGTTTTCTAAATCCTGTAATTTTTTGTCAGCTTTCTCTGACACTGGTACAGTCTCATCTGGTAACTCTAGTTCCAAACATGATTAGTTCCTAACCCATCGCATTGGGGACAGAGACAGGATTTAACATATAGCAAGTCTCACACACTCAACAATAGTTCAAGATGTGAATACAATGGCACTTACACTGTGTTGGAGCTTTGCTGTGACGTATACACAGGGTGAACGAGACAGATCACATTAGCCACCCACAGTGAACAGAGACCTTTGCAGTAGCCTCACACAACACAACTGACCTGCAGGCCAGCGCCGAGACTGAAGTGTGACCCATCAGTGAACACCTACTCTAAGCTAGGTCCCTTTTCCACCCACCCACAGCCCCCACATGAGTAATGGCAGACACACTTCATAGGGACCACCACCATCTACTAAAACAACAAACAGCTCCTGGATAACATTCAGGGAATGCGTGCAGGTTCATGGCCATGGACTTGGGTAATGAGTTTCCTCTTGAGCTGGACCCCACCGACAGATACATGCTCCTGTGAGAACCTTATAGCATTGCTTGTCTGAGCTGATGTGCAGAATAAGCCTGAGACTAAGGACTCCGGAAATGATCTTGAGGGAGAAGTATTAGCTTTCTCCACCTGCCCTCATAAAGCACTGCAAGGCAGAGGCTTAAACGATGGAAACTTTGTATCTTAGCTCTGGAGCTAAAGGCCTGAGGGATCACGCTGTCACAGGACTGGCAGTGGCAATGGTGGCTTCTCTCCTTACTTATTATTTTCTTTAGTTAATTAACTAATAGGCAAGCCAGGCGGTGGTGGCACACGCCTTTAATGCCAGCACTTGGGAGGCAGAGACAGGCGTATTTCTGAGTTTGAGGCCAGCCTGGTCTACAGAGTGAGTTCCAGGACAGCCAGGGCTACACAGAGAAACCCTGTCTCAAAAAAACAAAATAAATAAATAAATAAAAATAAAATAAAAAATTAACTAATAGGCAGGGTCAGATGTACCCTACATTTGTCCTCAAACTCTATGTAGCTAAAAATAACCTTGAACTTCTCACCCTTCCAAGCACTGGGATTATAGACATGTGCCACCATGCTTGGTCCATGTAGTGGTGTTGGGGATCAAACCTAGGACTTCCCTCATGTTAGGCAAGCGACTCCATCAACCCAGCTACATCCCAACCTTCTACTCTTTTTCTAAAACAATAATTTACCACTTGGGAGGCAGAGGCAGGCGGATTTCTGAGTTCAAGAGTTCGAGGCTAGCCTGGTCTACAGAGTGAGTTCCAGGACAGCCAGGGCTACACAGAGAAACCCTGTCTCGAAAAATCCAAAAAAAAATTTTTTTTACTTATTCTTATTTTGTGTACATTGGTGATTTAACTACATGCGTGTCTGTGTAAGGGTGTTGGATCCCCTGGAACAGGAGTTATGGACAGTTGTGAGCTGCCATGTGGGTGCTGGGAATTGAACTTGGGTCCTCTGGAAGGGCAAACAGTGCTCTTAACTACTGAGTCATCTCTCTAGCCCTTCTACTCCTTTTTTTTTTTTTTTAAACACAACATTTTGCCATGTAGCCCAGGCTGGCTTTCCATCTCCTGATCCTTCTGCCTAACCTCCACTAAAGTTGGAATAACAAGTATGTGTTACAGCCAGGCTTAGGGTTGATTTCTTCTCAGATAGCCTTGTTCAAATTCTTTGTCTTATAAAGAAAGACAGCATTTGGGTTTGCAACCAACTACTACACCATCATTTTAACTTGGCTGCCTCTTTAAAGGTCCTTTATCCAAATACAGTCACATTGTGGTATACTGAAGGGTTAGGGCTTCAGCATGAATGGAGCAGGGTCACAAACTTCATCTGTAAGTAGAGAGATGGGCTCTGTCATGCTTCTCCCAAATCTTGGGGTTGTTCAGGCACTGCCCTCAGGAAGTCTCCAGGTGAAGAGAGCTGAGAAACACAAACGTGCATACACAGACAGACATACACACATGTGCATCTTATGTGTGAATGTGCACATGTACACACATACACACATGCAGAGACAGGCACACATACATTTGCACACAGAGACAAACACACATATATACATAGACATATATTGTACACACGCGCGCTCTCTCTCAAACTCATGAGTGTGTTCCAGCGTGCATGACCGTTGTTGAACACACACACACGCACACACCACACTGGGAAGGAAGTGATTACAAGTTCTGTCTAAGAAAGAAATTTAGCAGCCAACTCCAGTGAAGAAACAGAAGCAGAAATGTGAGAGAAAGTACCAGAGAAATTAGTTAGGGGGGGAAAGGTTATCTGCAAAGGGGACAGTCACCTGTAAGAAGGACATGAGTGTCCCGATTGAGGTGATGTGTGAATGCTGTATTCAGAAGATCCAGATATCAACCAAGCTGCCAGCTCGGCCTCGGCTCACATGACCAAGACAGTAGGGACATCTCAAGCCATGTGGGATGGGGCTTTGCAGGCTGTCTTTATTTGTTAATGTCACCTTTCTGGGTATAGGGAACAGGATGGTTGGGTTTCCGGCCAGAGGGCTCTTGTGTCTCCAGTAAGTGCCACGGTGCCTGTCTGTCACAGTGTTGTCAGCTACTGCCTGGAGGCTTGAGAACAGACTCAGCTTCCCAAAGTGCAACTTCACTGGCCTACTGCTGTGTTTCCCTAGTGTTACCTTGTCTCCAAGATCCCATCTCCTTCTCTGAGATTTGCTTTCAGGCTCTGGGACCCTGTGTTCAACCGGCTTCCCAGTGTGCAGCCATTTCTGACACTCTTCCTAGCGGTCCTATATTTTAATGTTACTCTGCCTGAAATGGACGACCCCAATTCATTTCCTCTTGACATTTTGGCTGAGGGGTATATTTAGAAGTCCGGCTGGGTCACCTGCCATACGCATCAGCACCTCCAGATTTCAAACCTCTCCTGTTTTTTCTGTGTGTTCACAACCACCCAGCCACTGTGTATCTGTCTCCCTCTCTATCTGCTCAGGTATGAAGCGGCCACTGAGCCCACCCCCCTCAGGTGAGAAGGAGGCCCCCACAACTGAAGCATCTGAGTGTCCCCCTCAGTCTCCAGAATCATCAAAGCCTAAGCGGGAAAGAAAACGACCTTCCTACACACTCTGTGACGTCTGCAACATCCAGCTAAACTCTGCAGCCCAGGCCCAGGTGCATTGTGGGGGACGCGCCCACCAGCGAAGGCTTCGGCAGCTCAGCCTGGGGAAGACCTCCACAGGGCCAGGTCAGTGTGGAGTGGCACTGAGCTTAGGGCCCTTCCTATAAACTGGCTTTGCGTTCCTTTAAGGGATCTTAGGTCTGTGGCTTCCCTCTATGGTGCTGTCAAGTTTTATTTTAAAACCTGGTAATGGCCAGGCAGTGGTGGTGCACGCCTCTAATCCCAGCACTTGGGAGGCAGAGACAGGCAGATTTCTGAGTTCAAGGCCAGCCTGGTCTACAGAGTGAGTTCCAGGACAGCCAGAACTACACAGAGAAACCCTGTCTCAAAAAACCAAAAAAAAAAAAAAAAAAAAAAAAAAAACACCTGGTAATGTAGCACGGAGTGTGGCGCCTGCCTAGCATGTCCTCTGGATTCCACAAAACCAGAGAAAGTTTTGTTTTACTTCTGGACAGCTTTCTATGGGATCTCTTGGGTTGTGAGAGTCTTGAGGTCGCCTCTGGAGGTTCTTCAGTTCTAGGAGCTCTCCCTGGGGAGGTGTTTGTGATTAGGACATTTATAACATGTCTCCAGCTTGCAGGGTGTTCCATACTCCTGCTTTTAGCACTCCAACTGAGGAACAACAGGAGGTCCCTCTTCCTGTGACAGCTGGACTCTCAGCCAGGATTTCTGCCTCTTCCTGCCTGGGTGACTTTGCAAGGAGGAGGGTAGGGGGTGGGAGGGGGGGGGACTGGCTGCCAGTGCTGTAGGGGCATCTGGCTTCAGTGCAGTGTTCTGGGGGAAATGGGTGAATGCTTCTGTGAGGGTGATGCCTGTTGACAGACACGTGTGGATCACGTGCTGCAGGCTGGCAAGGAAGGCCGAACCACAAAAGCCTAGGAGGGAGAGAAAGAAGGCATCGGTACCCTAGATCCTGGGGGTGTCTTCGAGAAACCCACCTTGCAGTCCCGCAGGGTAGTTTTGCCAGAGGCTAACTTGAACCTTGAGAATGCCTAATCTTCGGATGACATTTATACAGTGCCCCCTAAGCATAATGGAAGCTGAGACACACCCCCAGGGACACAAAGGCCTTGAAGGGAGAGTGATGACCACAGCAGGTGAGGGGCATTTCGAGCTGAGGTCATGTCCCTAGCAAATGACAGGAAGATTCCCTTATCAGCATTAACGCCTCCAAGGAGGCACTTAGAGTTGGATTCTCAAGGTTGTGACTGAACAAATCTTATGGATGGCTGTTTCAGGAGCATGTAGGATGGGGGGGTATGTGTGGGGAGAGATGGGTTAAAAAGTCTTCCATTTAAGCTGGGTGAGTGGTACATGCTTGTAATCAGGAGGCTGAGGCTATCCAAATAACTCTATGTAAAGATACGTTTATTCTCAGGTATTGAAAGCGAAAAGAATGCCAAGAACCCAGGAGACAGCTGAGCCTATTAGCAAAGGCCAGTAATCCCAGTTATTCTAAAGATTGGGGAGAGAGGATCTCAAATTCAAGGCCAGCCTGGGCTATAGAGAGGGTTCAGACACAACCTGGACAACTTAGTGAGTCCTGTCTCCGTAGTAAAAGTCACAAGGATTAGGGGTATAGACAAGAGGCAGAGCTCTTGCCCAGCATACGTGAGGCTCTGAGTTCAATCGCTAGAACCCGAGGGAAAGAGCATAGTGCTGGGGGAAGACATCAGAAGAGGGAACAGTGAGTGAGTGGATAGGAGAACCCAGAGAAGCTCAAGAACTGTGACACTGATGTTGGATCCCGGAGGGGAATGGGTCTCATGAACAGAGCCAAACGAAAGCTGGTACAGGGACCAAAAGCTCCTGGTCTCCTGGGTGGTGGCCAGTGGAGCCTTATGTAGGGAATGGGCTGAGCTTGGTTGAACTGGTATCCCTTACAGGGCAGGGGCCTTCCCACCAGGCTAGCCTTTGACCTTTGCTCTAGAGGTTATGGGTCTCACAGCAGCATTGTGGGCTGGAGTATTTGCCGGTTCAGATGTCCTTAACAGAGGACGAAAGTGAAACTTACGGATCCGTGGTTAAGAGAGAGATCGGGTAGGAAACCAGTTTCTGAGGCTTTCGTGTAGCAGAACCATCAAGGTTTGGTAACAAATGGAGTTTAGGGACCAAGGGAGAGGGAAGAGGCATGGATAACTTCAGTTAGGCAGGCTCTTGGAGAGATGGGGTAGTGAGGTGGTTCAGTTGTTAGAGAGAGGTTCCAAAATGGGAAAAGGGTCAGGGTTGGTGGGGTTGGTGAGGTTGGTTTGGGAGATCACCAAATTCGGAGTCACCAGGAACTGTGATGCCTAACACTCCACTCTAGACTGTTAAATATTAGGCCAATTAAGTCACTATGTATCCAGGGTGTGTCCAGAAATCAGAGGCCTTAGGCAGGCCCAATGCTAGCCTAATGCAAGGTGCTGAGATACATCTAGTAACTGTGTTATTCAGAAGCATGGGAGGGAGAAGCTGCCATCTTCATTGCTCTGGTTAATTCTGAGCCTTCACTGGCCCCTGGGCCCCAGGTACAACCCTCCTGGATAGGAAGAGGCTAGCTGGCAGTCACTCAAGGTAGAAATCAGTTGGGGAAATGAAAACCCATATGACAACTTTGAGTCCTGCTAAAAACTGGTTCCAGCCTGGTGTAAGATTGGGCTGGGGCCACAGTAACACTCCAGGGAAATGGAGAGCTCCTCACCTAGTTCAGGGAAGCTTTGGGGGTCTGTGGGGTGTGTATGCAAGGAACCCTCCACAAGCTGCTTAATTCCTCGGCACTCCAGGTCTGAGATGCCACACCACACACGGAGACCTGAGGCCTTTGTCTCTTGGAGCCAAGAGCTTGTTCCCCGGGAGATGTCACTTTGATTAGGGTCCTGTGGGACTAGAGGCTTCCATAGTGACAGACCATCACAGACAGTGAAGCCAGGACCCTCTCCTGTTCTCCTTTCTGAGGTGGTATGTAGGAGGAGCTACAGAGATAGGGGCCCTTCCCTCCTTAAGGTTCCTCTCTTAGCTTAGATCAGAGGCCTCCCTCCTCAGTCACACCCAGCTTCTGGAGTTCTCACAGCCAAACCTGGCTTCATCTCCACCTCTTGGTACTTCTCCTGCCACACAGGAGGCCCTGTCAGACTGTAGGAATATGTCCTGGGCTATCCTTTACTTCCTTACTCTGTTCTCTTTGGGGGGGGGGCACTAGGAACCCCTAGAAGTGTGGCTAAAGCCAGAGACTCTACTCTCCACACCGTAAACTACTTAAATCCATTCTCCAACATCTGCAGATACAAAAGTGTAGGCACAGCTTCCTGGCTTTAATCTAGATGTTGGGGCAGCACAGGGAGTTGGGACACCTGCATGAGAAGCTGTGGCCTTCTGCTGTCCCATATTGAGCACTGCTCTGGAGCCCAGCTGCTCAGAAAGCTCTTAGACACCCAGCAGGAAGCCTCTCCACCCCACCCCCACCACACAGATGACGATGCTCAGCCCTCACCCCTCACTTTACACACTGAACTGTGGGGGCTCAGAGAGAATAGCACCCCTAAAGCCAGACAGCTGGGTTGTGATTCCAGGTGTCTGACTCAGTCCCATCTCACACCTCCTACCCTGGCTAAAGAGAGCAGCCAGTATATAAAGAGAGGTTGGCTTATGCCTTTTATCCTAACGCTTGGGAGGCCAGAGCAAGAGGATTACTGATAGTTCAAGGCCTATATGTAGAGTTTCAGGGTAGCCAGATCTATCTATCTATCTATCTATCTATCTATCTATCTATCTATCTATCTATCTATCTATCTCTATCTCTATCTCTATCTCTATCTATCTATCTATCTATCTATCTATCTATATATATATATATATATATATAGAGAGAGAGAGAGAGAGAGGGGAGGGGGAGAGGGAGAGGGAGAGGGGGCGGCAGAGAGGGAGAGGGAGACAGAGAGACATAGACAGACAGATAAACAGACACAGAGAGAGCAAGGTGCATAGTGTTTAGGAGTGGAAAGTGGGGTTGGCCTGAGAAAGGAGACTCAGCAAGATGATTATACAGGTGCTCACGACCTCTGGCCATATCTCTGTTCTGTGTTATCTCAACTTAAAGTGGGGAACCATTTAATCTCAGCATTCGGGAGGCAGAGGCAGGTGGATCTCTGTGAGTTTGAGGCCAGCCTGATCTATTGTATTGAGTTCTAAGACAGCCAGAGAGCTACATAGTGAAACCTTGGGTTTAAAATAAATAAATAAGTGAGGGGCTGGAGAGATGGCTCAGCAGTTAAGAGCACTGCCTGCTCTTCCAGAGGACCTGTGTTCAATTCCCAGCAACCACATGGTGGCTCACAACCGTCTGTGATGGGATTGGATGCCCTCTTCTGGTGTGTCTAAAGACAGCGATAGTGTACTCGTATACATAAAGTAAATAATTAAATCTTTAAGAATGAAAGAAAGAAAGAAAGAAAGAGAGAAAGAAAGAAAGGAAGGAAGGAAGGAAGGAAGGAAGGAAGGAAGGAAGGAAGGAAAGGAAATGAAATTTAAGAAAAAAGGAGAGCACTCACCAGTTGTCTCCTGCCCCTCTAGTTGGCTAAAGAAGGGGAGCTTCCTAAAGTCAGCCAGTTCCTCTGACTCTAGGCACTTTCTAATTTAGAGTGAGCCCCTCTCCCTTACCCTACAAACATTGCCACAGACCCTTGACAAGGCAGGAAGGAATTTCACAAATGACTTCAGCTCTGATTTACTGAGATGGCTAGAGGAACTGTGGGTGAAGAATGTAAGGTAGACACTGGGATGGACAGGCAGAGATGGGTCAGATTATAAAGGCATCCAAGACAAAGATGGCTGCAGTCATGGCAGTCAGACATGAGTCTTCTGCACTCCCCACTAATGTGCTAGAGATACCCAGCCCCCTATCTCTTCTCTAAACTTTGAAGCCTCTGGCTGTACCCTGGGCCCTGGAAATCAAGGACATGGGTCATGCATGAGTCACTGGCTTGATGAATGCTCCTACCCCACAGCTCCCTACCGATGGGTTAATTTCAGTCCCTCCAGGAGGCTCCGGAAGCTCTCCTCCTGTCCTTCCCATCAGCATCTTTCTG